GCTGTTTTCTCATCTGAGTCCTTTCAGTCAATCCATCCCATTCTGTCATAAATTACCTGGCAGCAGACTAATGGGAAGGGAAGGAGCTGATGGAATGCTTTGGCCATGAGGCTGTTTGCCAGCTCCAATAAATGAAATAGGTTAATTGCCAACAGATGTAACAGCTGGGGAAACATTTCTAGTGATCCCTATGTTGTGGCGCAAGGAGGACACATTCTGGAAGGGCTGAAACAGACGTTAAAAGAGATAATAAACCCCAGTAAATTGGCTCTTGAGCACTGAGCCCTGATCTGGGGCCTGGCAGCACTGGGATGTTTGGGTCCCTTCACAGTCCGTGAAGGGGCTCAGAAAGCAGGAGCTGGTTAAATACACACACCTGCACAACTGGGTTATTGCAAAACCACCTGAGCTTAGTGTTCTACCAGTGAAGAGCTCAAAAGAGAACAGAAAAAGGGCACAATTCTTTGAAGTAGATGAGAAGATCGGAAAGGAATAACTGGATAAGGCTTGGCAGAGTGACCTGTTCCTGCTGCATTGTGGCTGTTGTCATTGCCCCCATTAATTAGCGTCTCCTTCTCATGACAGGCATCGACTTTTCCGTGAGCATTGTGTGTGTGTACAAGGGAATTACATCAAGGATTTGAACATCCTAGGCAGAGACCTCTCCAAAACCATCATCATCGACAATTCACCGCAAGCCTTTGCTTACCAGGTACAGGGCTGGGACGAGCACCTCCTGAGGGAGCACAGGGAAATGGACACCTGGATTCCACTCCCCGGGGGAGTTCAGGGCTGGGGAAACCCTCAGAGGGATTTCCAGTTCTTATCTGAGTTTGAGGCTAGGAAACCTACAGCTGGATTTCACTTCTTACTGAGTTTGAGGTTACACCTGGATTCCTCTTATTTGAGTTTGGGGCTAAGGAAACTACATTTGGATTCCACTTATCTGAGGTTGGGACTTAACATTTGTAGTGAAGTTTGCAAACCAAACTGTGAGGAAAATACACATTAATTAACTCTAACTTGGAAATATTCTTTCCCAAATGCTGTTTCACAAGTGATATTTGTAAATAAATGAAGTATGAATCATGTGCTGATGATTTTTCTTTTCTCTTAACTTCAGCTTTCTAATGGAATTCCTATAGAAAGTTGGTTCATGGATAAAAATGACAACGAGCTTCTAAAACTGATTCCATTTCTGGAGAAACTCGTAGAGCTGGTAAGTATTTGCTTTCTGTGCCTCCTCCCAAAAATGTTAGTGAGCTCTTTGAACACTTTCACACGTTGTAAGGTGCTTTGAGTCACTGAGATTGAGGCTGATGAACGTCCTGTGTATGTGTGTGTGATGAGGCTGCTGGGGGCAGGGATGTGTTGTCATTGCTAACTGAGCTGTAACTGCAGGGCTGGAGGGCTGTAACACCAGCTCTAAGGACCGGAGGGCTGTAACACCAGTTGTAAGGACTGGAGGGCTGTAACACCAGCTATAAGGACATGGGGAGTGTGAGGGCCTCTGTGTGACATAATGCCTGTTGTAGGCTGTGTGTCTTTGATCTCGAAACACAAATCAATCAGCCTAAGCTGTTGTGGGTGCCGTGTAGTTATTCCTGTAAGCCTCTTGGATGACATATATCCGTGGCTTATGTTTCATTACATTAAAATGTGGGTGCTAGACAATGAGCCCTGCTGAAATGTGGCCTCTGTCTGTGCTCACCCTCCTAACCCTGCCCTTTCCCCCCCCAGAATGAAGACGTCCGACCTCACATCAGAGACAGATTTCGTTTGCATGACTTGCTACCCCCCGACTAAAGCCTTGGCCCTCGTGCCCAGGGGAGGAAATGCAGGACCCTGTTGGACTGACACAAAACATTGCCATTACTGTTGAAATTTTGCATTTTTGTACCCCGTCTTGCTTTTCTTATCTTTGGTGCCCAGCAGTGATCAAGGGTTACAGGAAGAGACTTTCCATGCCTGAGGTTGCGCCGTCAGTACAATCCCGTGCCCCGTGGTAGGGAGGCTAGAACAGAACAGGCTTTAGAGCTAGTGCAACTCCAAGGAGATTTTTTTAATGTACAGGACATCTGCAGTTTATAAAGAAAATCTTGTTTCTGCCACCAGCAGTTTGACCTGTAGAAACACAGGATTTTATGATACAACAGAGGTTGAAAACGGACTTGGATTCTCTCTCTGTTCGGTGCTCTAAGTGGGTTTGTAGCCACTTTTCTGTTACTTTTCAGACTCTCATTTCAACAGGAATGGCCAGTAAGAGTTGTTTTATTTTTCCTGTTAAGGTTTATAACCTTTTTACATTTTTGACCTGTATTAGAGTAGAGTTTCATTAAGCATTCCTTTTAGTTGAGGCGCTTCCTAGCTTTCCCTGGAGACAGCCCAGTTTTGTTAGTTTTCCCTGAAGCAGTTGGCTGGCCGTTCCCTGCTGCTCTGCCTGCACCTCTATGTTTGTTTAAAGGTATCCTCTAGTTTTAGCCACGTAAGTTTCATTTAGAAAGAGAAGAGAACCCCCTGCATTTATATTTTCTTTCTGTAATATTCTACTGTAGTGGAAAACCTTTCCAGAAATCAAGAGACTGGCTAGAATGACTAATGCCCCGGCTCTCCTGCCCCGCGTGGAGGCATGTGCTCCGGACAGAGCTCCTGGCGGCGGCACACGCTGGACACGGATACCTCACCCCGTGCTGCGCCTGGACACGGCCCGGAGAGCGGCGGGACCCGAGCAGGTGTGCTGGGAGCCCGGCCCTGCTGCCCCCACCACCACTGACTGTGCCCCGCAGGCTCCGCCCGGCCCGAGGGGAGTGTCTGGCGCCGGGTGGGAGCTCCTGTGCCGGAGGCTCAGGTGGGATTTGAGTCAGGAAGCTTTGCCTCTCGACTGCATGGCCACGCCACAGACTGGTTTGGGGGAGAGATGTCCCAGGACGGCACTTTTTCTAAAGAGAAGTTTGCTATTTTGTATGCTGGAGAAGAAAGTTCAGTATTGGAGGTCAGAGGAGGACAGCTGAGAATTGAGAAGTATGTCAATTAATTTTTTATGTATATTACCTGTTTACTTGTACAATTTTATTGTACAAATTACATGCAGCTTCATTTTCAAATGAGTCCTTAAAATAAGGAAAATCTTTTTAGGAAGACATTTAATTTTTGTATTTTTGATTTTAAAAGGCATGAGTTATGTCAACTTTTTCCAGTGTATTAATGAAGATTTTAACTTTTCATCAGGTTGAGTGTTTTCTTACTATATTCTCTGTTGTGTATGTAGCTAGCACATGGTGTCACTGAACTGTTAAACTTAGCATGTAGAGCAAAGCCTGTTTTGTGGAGAATCCTTATTCATTGAAACAGAATCATCATGGCAGGTTTTCTGCAGAAAAAAAAAGTGAAACATTTGCAATTCAGAATACTGATTTTTTTTGTATTTAAAGAAAGGTATTTTGCTTGCAGGAAAGAAATACTACAGATTCATTTTAATGAGAATCTTCTAAATGTATTTATCTTTAGGGCATCTTTACGCTGTTTGTCTTATGTCTTTATTGAAATAAAATGTACAGAACATTACCTTTACATCTGCTCTGCAGCCTCTCACCCTGGGCCAGCCTGCCTGGCTCTGTGTCCATGCTCTTGGAAGCACTGATGGATTGGGAGTGGGCAGCCAGTGCTGGAGCTGCTCCATGGTTCGCCGGTTCCTCGGAGTCGTTCATTGCGAAGGAAATACGAATCTGAGGGTTTCAGTAGGCTATAATGGTGAAGCTTTGTGTAACGTGGGATTCTTCCATGTTCCTCTACATCACAGAACTGCTCTAAAATCTGCCAGCATCATCCCTGTTTGGTTAGTCCATGGCCTTCCTCTGCCTGTAAGGGGGTGATCCCTTGTTCAAACAACAGCTTTAACCCTCTGGCTCTGACCATTCCAGAAGTGCCTTCAGAGCTGAGCAAACCAAAGCCACACTGCCCTTTCCAGCTGTATCCTTGTGTGCCCTGAGGGAATTCCCAATGCAAACAGGAGATTTAGCTCTACATGGATGCACAGCAGCAGTGACAGAAATTGCTTGGTAAACACATCAAATATTCATGTTTCCCTGTGCTGCAAGTCTGGTGTTTGTCACTGAGCTCTGCAGGAAGGTTCTGCCTTCTGCATATGGAACTTGCCTAGAATGTCAAACCCTTCTGGTGTGAAGCAGTAAATCCACAGGGTTTGTTTCTGTGGTGTCTATCTCGAGGGTGAGAGTTACCTGTCCCTCTGTCAAGGGTCTGGGCCAGGTTGGTCCCCAGAATTGCCCCCCAGGCCAGGGAAGCCTCAGCCACATGTTGCTGTTTGAGCTCTGAATGTAGCTTGTACAACTGGAGCAGTGCATGGAGCAGCTGGATCCTGTATTCCCAGTTAGGTGTTTCTGGAATGATTTCCTTTGTGGTGTTCTGCTGGATCTTGGTGACTGTGTGCTCATTTCCCTGTCCCCATGTGTTCTGTTCTAGGTTGGATCATCCTGGTTCTGGCAGCAAATAACAATACCTGTTCAATCCTTTGTTTTCCCTGGAGTTGCTCTTAGCTGGAACAACCTTCACCTTGCTGTTACTGCTTCTTTCCACCTTGGATTCATCCCACCTGCCATTTGTCATTGCTTCTGAGTGGATCAGGAAAGCCTGAATGTCTCCAGACCTGATCAGAGACCTTGCAGAGCAGGAGTAGACATAAGGAGCATGCTGAGGAGACACATCTTCGAGCAGAGCCTTCAGTGTGGTATCAGACCTCACTGGGTGAGGCAAGAGGAAACACCTCAAGTTGCACCAGGGGAGGTTCAGGTTGGGTATTGGGAATACTCCTCCTGAAAAGGGCTGTCCAGCCCTGGCACAGGTGCCCAGGGCAGGGGGGGAGTCACCATCCCTGGAGGGGTTTAACAGCCTTAGTGGTGGCCTTGGCAGTGCTGGGGACTCCATGGTCTCGGAGAGCTCTTCCAGCCCAAACAATTCCATGATTCTGGCCTCACAGCACTGCAGTTACACTTTGTCTGTCCCACCTGGAATCAGCCACATCTCACTGGTGCATTGATGAGATTCATGAGGTAACAATTGCTGTGACACTGAGGCTGTTCCTGCCTGTGACAGAAGTCTCCATCTCAGGGAATTGTGGCTGCTGGACCAGCCCTGTGCCCTGGCTGTGCCATTCCTCCTGCTCCAGAGCCAGGGCTGGATTAGACATTTCACTGTGCTCCATCCCTGCCCTCCCTGTGGTGCTCCTGCAATGTTCCACAGGGAGGATTTTTGGATAGCTCAAGGGAGAACTTCACAGGATTCTGGGGGTCAAGGCCAGAAGTAAACACTCAATTTAGAAAACTGACAACTCCTGCAAGTTATCAGCTCAGATGGACAAGGTTGTTGCAGCAGGGGCCAAGAGGAACTAATCCTTTCCTTAAAATCCCTTAAAATAAGGTCTTCACTCTTGAGTAGAGTGAACATTCCATGGGCAGTGTTCTTCTGGAGAAAGGGCTCCATGGCCAGGCCCACAGATGGTACCTGTGATCTAGCCATGCTAATTCCAGGTTTTTGCCATTAAACTCCTTCAAAATCAATACCAAGGATGGATACAAGAAGAAACAGAGCAATGCTAGTCCATGCCATGAGCATCAGTGGTTGTAGGAGATAAACACTGCATTCCAGGAGAAGCAATCCCTCATGTTCCATCTTCAGGCAAAAACATGGTTTGGAGGATTGGAGCTACAAGGGACTTACAATCCATCCTGGGAAGTGTGTAGAGCTGGAATGTGAAGGCTCAAGAAGCCCTGGGATTGCATTAGATGTTGTAGCTGGAGAACAGTGTCACAGTGAGGACACTCATGGACACTCTCCAGGAGTTGGTCACGCCAAGGCCGTGGCATTTGGGCTTTGCGTCGGAGCTTCTTGGTGTGGAAATCCTGCAGGAGCTGATCAATGGTCAGTGGGAAGAGGCAGAGCTGCAGCAGTGCTCAGTGAGGAGTCAGAACCCTCTCAAGTACCCCAGATAACCTGTTTGTTTGGCAGCAAACGAGGATGGACTCTGGAGCACATCCCTGTTTGGGGTGTCCTGACTGTGCCGTGGGACACTGTTGGGATTTGATTGATACTTGCAGAAATGTCATTGTTGGGTGTGCTAAGCCCTGTGACATGTGAGGGGAGAGGACTCTGCTCCGGGTTGGTGTTTCCTCTGCAGCCATTTCCAGTCTAGAGAGTCAGATTGCTATGAAAGATTTCTGCTCTGGCGGCTGTTTTTATGAGTTTTAGTTGATTTAGCCGTTTCCATCCCTCCCTGAGACTTTGCTGCAAAGCAAGACATTGCTGCTGTCACTTCTCAGCCTGTAAGGAAGGAGTTGCATCTGTTTTACAGCTAAGGATTCTGGAGGCTGACAAATAACAATGTAGATGTGCTGTGTGAATCTACAGAATGTCCATGATTACCATGTCCCAAATCACTGCACAATTCCTGGAAGTTTGGTGGTTATTAGCCTGGGCACCGTGTGGACTTGGTGAGGATGTAACAGGACAATGTTTGAGGCACAGTTATATCTCTGCTATACTTATATTGCCTGGTCAGTGGGAACAGCAAAACAGGAGGATACATTTGGGACTCCTGGGTATCTGCCCAATGTTTAAGGAGGAATTGGATGGTCTAGTTTACAAGGTGGTGTCAGGTCATAGGTTGGACTTGACATGTTTTTTAACCTGTTTGTTCTGTGATGTATATTGTAGTATCAGAGATCTGTCACTTGTTATATGAAAGACACCTAAATTTATCATCCTCAGAGAAAATCTATGCTCCTTTTCCATTTAGTCACTTGGACTCACAGGAATTGGGAGTTGACAGCGGAGTGAACTGGCTGAAGGGAACATTTCCAGCTTTTCCCTATTCGATGTTACTTGCCAAGGGAGAAGGTAAACCACCCCAGGTGTGTCAGAGCATCCTGGAGTGTGGCAGGAGCACAGGGCAAGTACATCTAATTGTGGCCACACAAAACTCTTGATTATGACACACTTTATTGCCCTTTTAACCTGCTATGGAGTGGGTTCGGCGAGCACAGCTGGAGCCCAGCAGCACCTGGAGAGGAGCTAGCCTGGCACCGTGGCCAGGGCCGGCCCGGGTTATCTCTCCGC